TTTAAATCAAATTTATGCCAAGCATTTATCGCTTTTTAAATGCTTAATATATATATAATATAAATAATTTAATTTTTAACAATTTTTTATGACTTAACAAAACTTTCTTGTTTTGAATTAAAAAGTTTCTTCAAATTTGTCTAAGCTGACAATTAATGTGATAAATTTTAAACAAATTCGCGAGCCCATAACTGTTTAATGATTGAAAGCCAAAGGATTAAATTTTTTAAATTAAATTTTTGTTGTTGTGAAATTCTGTCTCAGTTTAAGGCATATTTATTTATAACAATAAATAGTTGATATAAAAACTTTCTACTAACAAGAAGAAAAAGTTGTTTCCTTCAACCTTTCACTATTTACATAAAAAAAAAAATCCCAATGAGCGCACAGAATTTTTGGCACAAGAAATCTTTTGGCTTTCTAGAATTTTGCATAATTTGATCAATGCGAAATATTGATAGCAAAGTGACTTAAGTAGACTCTGAGTGTGTGCTTGTGCTGTGCTCTTGATAAATAATTTAAATGCCGTCAGCAGTTGGCATATTTCGCATTTAACATTGTGGACATAAACACAATTAGCTAAATTGGCAGCAATAAAATTAAAGTGCAGCGTGAGGAGAGCAAAAACGCGAAGATCGAAATCAAAATAAAAATTCAGAAAATAAAGAAAAATAAAATACAAATCAGAAGGCAATGCCAGCACCAACGCCAACGCAACCAACTGAACAACTTTATAAAACTAAGCACGAGCCGCCCCGACAATTGGCATGAGTCGGCAGCTGGGTCTTGGCTGTAGCTGCAGTTGTTGCTATTGTTGTTGTTGGCCTGCTGCCACCTTGGAATAGGCAAAATTAACTAAATTACAACATCAACGAAACACGGAGGGGCAACAGCAGCAGCAACTAAAATTTGTTGCACATGCAAATTTATGTGTAAGTGAAGCAGCAGCAGCAGCATCCAAAGAATATGCAACAGCAGCATCGTCTTCGCCGAGGCAAATAATTGTGTTTAAATAAAGCTGTAGCCAAGAATTTCGTCTAGGCCTGGCCAATGGCCACTAGGCAACTATGCTGCTGGTTACTGTTGCAGTTGCTGTTGCTGTTGCTGTTGCTGTTGCTGTTGCAGTTGCTGTTGCAGTTGCTACTGCTGCATTAAGCCATATCCGGTTCAGCTTCAGGTTCGGAGCACTATGGGCACTGCCTGTCTAAATTTAGCGCTTAATGAAGCTGCTGCTGCTGCTGCTGCTGACGCAGCCATTGCCGTTGCTGTTGCTGATGTTGCAGATGCAAATTGTGGCAGCGCAAACAGATCAAGAGTCGCATTCACAGCCTCTCAAGCCCTCGCGCGCTAGTTTGTAATAATTCATAAAAATTGGCAAATTAAACGCCAACACAACAAATGATCCGCGTGGCGACTGCAATTTGTATGCAATGCTCTGGCAACATACGATAAAAACAAATAATGGCCAGCGACTGCCGCTGCTGCTGGGGCATGCAACAGGGCATGCAACAACGAAACAGTTGGGTTTCTGTTGCACAGTCCACGGCGATGATAAATGTGCGCCCACTTTGCTTATTTATGGCCACTCAAATTGAATGCAATTGATTTTCTCCTCTTCTGCTGGTTCGCTTGCCTCTCGCTCGCACTCTGGCTGTTTTGTACCTGCGTTGGCGTTGCATAACCCCAGCTAAACTCCAAATTCATCTCTTACAGACCCTTAAGGAAAACTGCATGAAACAATTCAAACAACAAGAGAAAATACTCGTTCCATGCGCGTGTATTGTGCCTGTGCCTGTGCATGTGTGTGCGTGAGTGTGTGTGTGTGTGTAAAATGATTTCACACTGAGCACCAAAAATATTTACCCAACAAATATTAAATACAAAGTGCGACAAAGTGTTTAACCACAAATAATTCAAATTCAAATTCAAAAGTTTCGAGTAGCTGGCATCACATTCAAAGCAGACCAAGATTTTGTTTTTTTTGCGGAGAAATGAGTAGCAACAAATTATTGGTAAGTCTGACAATCCTTAAATAGATATTTTAGTTTTATTTATTGTTTTTCGCTAATGAGCCCAACATTCAATTTGCAACAATTAGAAGCAAAGCCACGAAATCTAAACCGCCCCAAACAGCAACCGCAAACAAGTTGCGTATCTAGAGCCATTTTGAGAATTTACCACTGACAATTTATTTATTGCTTTCAATTAGTTAACAAATTTTATTGTGTTTGGCAGCAAATCGTTTATATTAATTGAAGTTTTGACTGTAATTTGAATAATTAATAAATCTTAATAGCTAAGTAGTTTGCATTACAGTAAATTAATTTTATATAATA